CCCTAGGCTGCAGAATTCATCCAGTGAACTTCCAGGTACTCTTTCAAGTCCTGGTCCCTCTACCTCTGTCTTCTACTGATGCCACTACTTATCAGTCCTTCCTGGCAACCTGAACAGCCGACTACAACTGTCACTTCCAGCAATTTGCCAAGTTAGTTGAGGTTGCATTGTGGCCTGGTGCCCATTCAATCTTCCACCACCTCACCAAGTCCACTCTCTCATTGTTGACATTCTTCCAACCAGCTCTCCAATGGCAGCTGCCATGAAATAAGCCTGTCTTCACTGACCACAGACACGGCACTGCCAAAGATCTCACTATGCACTATTCTTGTTCACCTCTCTTGCTTCTTGCCAACTACAGGCTGCAATTCTTCCAAAATCCATTGCTTCCTCATGCTGCCAGGTATAATCCAACTGTTATTCAGTCTTTCGTCTTCACTTGCTCTGTCTCATGATCTTCATCCCACTATCTATAATTCCACATGCACCTTTTCACCCTACCTGTATCACCTATCTACTCAGTGTGATGAGTAGGCATATACATTCTGTAAATAAATAAATGAATAAACAATCATGTAAACATACACTTTCCTATCAATCTAGCTATTCTATGCACCTGATGAAGTGAGCTGCAGCTCACGAAAGCTTATTTATTAAATTTGTATTCCGCCCATCTCCCCAGAGGGTGACTCTGGGTGGCTCACAATTAGAGTTAAACTCAAAAACTGTTAAAAAAATAAACACCCACATTAATTAATTAAAAAGTCAGGCTATATAAAACAAACCCTATACATAAAAAACTAAAAATATTCAAGATGAATATATTCAAGATATATATTATATATAATTTTTATTAAAAATTTTGATTATGATAATAAATCAAAATAATACAAACTAAATTAAAAAAAGAGAATAGAGAGGAGTAAAAAGTGTAAGGAAAAAGAAAAAAAAGAAAAAGAGAAGAAAGAGAAAAGTAAGAATATAATAAAGAAAAGAGATATATAAAGAAGCAACTTCCAACTTTCATCACAAGTATAAACAAATGTAGTAATTCTTCACCCTCTCTAAAATTATAAACATTTATTTCTTCTTCCCATATCCCATCTCTTAGCTATAAACAAATCCATAAAACGTCATCTTTTCAGTCCAGGTATCAGTAGAAAGTCCAAAAGGGGTAGCCAGAAGTAACAACATATCTTATTTTAACCTTGATCAAATAAATCAACTTTATATTCCTTCCTTTTATTTCTAACAGTCTTAATCTTTAGTCCATTGAAATATTGTAGGATTTGATTTCTCTTCATTTCTTCTTTGTCCCATCGCACAGTTCTTCAAGGCTTTAACAAGCCTATTTTGGAAACCCACTAGGAAAAAATTATCTACCACAGTCTCTTAAATTTTAAAACCTCAGCCAATTTCTTTTGTACATCCAGTGAAACATCCTTTTCTAAATAATTCTCTTGCCTTTCAGTTGTAAATCCACTTTTGATACCATCTCTATCTTGTCAGCTAAAAATTGTTCTGTATCTGACATTTTCAGTTCAGTAACCTCTTTTGGACATAGTATGTCCATAGAAGCAGACATCATTACTGACACTGTTGATATAGTGGCTACTATTTTCTGATTCCATTCTTCAGAAGTCTCCTTCAGTATTTTTACTGACATAACCATCTTGCAGGCCTATATATCTTTCCTCTGCCTAAACTATTCATTCATTCATTCATTCATTCATTCATTCATTCATTCATTCATTCATTCATTC